TTCATTTTTATTAGATGCAACTACTGAGCCTTTTCATACATAAGCTCACATCTCATTTAATAGCTTCAAGATTCCTACGAGGTGGGAATTATTGCCATTTCACAGGTGAGAAAACAGAACTTTGAAGAGGGTAAGTGAACTTGACAAAGGTTATACAACTAGTAAACAGAAGTGGAGGACTTCGCCCTGGGTCTAAGAAAAGCCCATACGTTCCTGCACACATTGATTCATTTAATCATTTACCTTCATCAACTTACTCATAAAAGGTAATAGAAAACAAGTGCTGAAACTTGACAGAACAATACAAACAGGAAAAATGAGAAAGGTCATCTCAGATCTCTTCCTTCCCCCACAGTTGTCAGGTGATTTCTAGTAAACGTTTACAGGGCAGACTATTTTAAACTGTTCCAGAGCACAGAAAAAAGTGGAAAGTTTCCCATTCATCCTTGGAGGTTGGCTTAATCTTGACACCAAAACCAGGGTAGGATTGCAAACTTAAAAGGAAACATAAATATTAAGTTTATCTCTTGTCAATGACAGATGCAAAAGTCTTAATATATTTAAGTGAAAAACAAAGGAATATGTTTAGTGTGATCCCATGTGTAAAAGAAAAACCGTTGTGAATACATACATATATATGTATGGTGGGATATGTAAATGTATATTTGTTACATACATACACATATAAATGCAAAGATATAGGTTTGGAAATACAAACCTCAAACTGTTAACAATGGTTATCTGAAACAAGAGTAGCCTTAGCCTAGCAGAAGGGGAAGAACACAAGAAGTGAAGGGAGATTTTCAGCTTTTACTCTATATACTCACATATTATTTGAATTTTAAAATTTTATTTGAATCATAAAAATTAATGTATATCATGTTTGATAATTAAAATATATAAATATTCCTTTTCTGTATCTCCTCTGCTTGTCATAGCAAAAACTAATTCTTTTATTCACTCACTGGTCATTCATTCATCCAACAAACAATTGTGGTACAACTATGGTGTGTGGGTACTGAGCTAAGTACTTAAAAAACAAACATGTGCCAGTCACCAGGTACTTAGAGACTATTACAACAGTCATTTCCTTCTATAAGACACAGTGTTTAGTTTTAGGTCAAATTCTAATTTTTATCATTTATTATTTTTTAGGTCATGCCAGAGATAAGAGACATTTTCTTTTTCTGGAATTTGTATTGCCTTTATTCTAAAGAAGAATAGCAGACAATTTTTTTAATTAAAACAATGCATTTGTATTCATTCATTCAACAAAAGTTAGAGTACCTGCTATGTGTCAGGCACATGGTGGACAATGGACATGCAAAGATGAATAAATAACATATGGCTCCTACCTAACCTCTAAGGAGTTGAGAATTTTACAGACATGATATGTCTGATACACAGTAAAACAAAAAAACTGAAATAAATACCTTAATAATCCTGTACTTCAAAGTGAAACTGGCAAATTGCCCTCTTCCAAAATAAAAGTTAATTTCAGTTTAACCCAGAAAAATCTTAACATTTATGTAAAATGTGAAACTATTCAATTATTTTACCATTAGAGGGAATAAATTAGTGGGAAAACAGAGAACATGGAAGTTTCAGGGGAACAGAAAGTGCAATGAATGTCTGAGTGAACAGGGGTTCTAAGATCAGCTATGCCACCGAGACACTGTTGCAAGGTTGAATCACCCTGACTCTGTTTCTCCACTGGAAATATGGAAATCAGACCTACCTTATTAGGATAGGAGAAAACATACTTTATTTGAAAAAAAACATAATAAAATCTGGTGAATATGAGGCAGTGTGGCCACAACATCTGTTTGATATTGTTTCATTTGATTTTTTATTTATTTTCCCCACTTTGTCACTGATTAGCCAAGCAAATTCACAAACACAATTTAACCTGGGTATGCCTCATCAAATAAAAGAATGCAGGAAGTAGTCAGAAGACCTGTATTTACATTCAGACCCTGCCTCTTACTAACTGTAAGGTTAAAAAACAGCAAATTATTTAACTCACTTGCACCTTAGTTTCCTAGAAATAAAATAGGGATAAACCTACCTTACAGGATTATTTAAAAGATTAAACGAAAAGATGCATATGTAAAAAACACAAACTTAAAAAAGTATTATAAATTAAAGACATTTTTTCAAAGAAGATATACAAATGGTCAATTAGGAACATGAAAAGATAAAATACAAATGAAAACCACAATTATTAATAGATACCACTTCACAGCCACTAGGATAGCTATCATCGGAAAAACAAACATTAACAAGTGTTGGCAAGGATGTGGAGAAAATGGAACTCTCATACATTGCTAGTGGGGTGTAAAAATGGTGCAGCAGGTATGGAAAACAGTTTAGAAGTTCCTCAAAAAGTTAAACTGAGTTACCATATGACCCAGCAATTCCACACCTAGGTATATACCCAAGAGAATAAAAACATATGTCCATACAAAAACTTGTAAATGAGTGCCCACGGCAGCATTATTCATAATAGCCAAAAAGTGGAAACCACTCAAATGCCCAGCAGATAAACAAAATGTGGCACAGTCACCTAATGAAATATTATTCTGCCATAAAAAGGAATGAAGTACTGATGCATGGTATAGCATAAACAAACCCTGAAAACATTACACTACGTGAAAGACACAAAGGGCCCTATATTGTATGATTCCGTTTATATGAAATGTCCAGAATAGGCAAATCCACAGAGAAAGAAAGTAGATTAGTGGTTGCCAAGTACAGAGGAGGGGGGAACAGCAGTGACAGCTACAGGATATGAATTTCCTTTTAGGGTGATGAAAAGGTTCTTGAGTTAGTGATGTTTGCACAATCTAGTGATTATACTAAAACCAGCGGAATTGTGCACTTTCAAAGAGTGAATTCTATGGCAAATAAATTATATCTCAAATTAAACTATTATAGAAATTTACATTTCTGTTATTTTTTATTAGTAAATATCCTACTTTTCTCAAGAGATTGCTCCTATTTGCTTTTAATAGCGTTAAAAGATCTTTGAAGTTAGCTGTTAACACAGATGCCAGAGAAACTTTCTACAAATCACATTAATTTGGATTAATTTCATTCTTCAAAAGAACTGTCATTAAAACCAAGCTTGTTTTTAGAAAGTAGAAAAAGCTTAAGGAGTCCTTATAGAGCACATTTTTAAAAAAAGTCAAAATGTGATATTTTCTGTTTTTATAAATTAGTGGATAATTTATTTTCAGATATGTCATTAGTAAGATTACCTGTTTAAAATGTCACTAAATGCTCACCAATCAACTAAAACTTAATTAAATGAAACGTAGTGACCTCTCTTTACCACTTTCTATGAGCTGCATTCTGTTGTCAGATATCTAGTCCATCATTACCATCTAATCTTTTTCATCAATTATTTCTTTCAATTGTTACTCACAGGGACTGAAACATTTGGTAAACTCTTTACAGGCAATCAATTCATTTTTCTAATGTTGGGGAAGTTATTAGAGTAGGCCCAATTTTTAAGGTTAAATTTAGTCTAGAATGTTTGAATAAATATTCAACAAAAAGATTTCCTGGAATTTGGAATATAAAAACAATCTATAGAGTTGTGCAATGCTTCCTAGGCCCTTTGGGAATTTTCTCATGTATTTAGTCATGGGGTAAAGACAGTCACCAACTTTTGCCCACAAAAAGTACTATGTATAAAGGCTTCCTGGTTCTAGAACAAAGATGTATTTTATTGCTGAAAGCAAAAGGAAGATATGTTCCTTCTATTTAGTATTGTTACACCAAAATAACATACCAATGAAACCAGCTAGGTACTGGCATGACCCAAGGTATGTAAACAAAGATAAATTGTACTTTATTATGTATCCTGCCTTGGGGGAAAAATTTCTCACACTAAGAAAATAAGATTTAGCAAGCCAAAAAAAGAAAAAATATATACGAATTAAGATTTGCCAACATGGGGGTATTTTGAGTGGCAGTTTTAATTTGAGGGCTTGTCAAGCTATGCTGGTGGGTATGCTTGACATAGACAAAAACGTGAAGAAAGTGATGATCTGTCAAACAGTTGCTATCTAGTTACTCTCTTAACAGCACTCCCAACTTCTCCAGTGATGTCTGTGTATGAGAGAAAGATGTCAAAGCACCAAGAGAATCACAGGGGCTGTTACAGCACCAGCAGGTCCAAACCGTGCATCCCGGGGCGAAATCCCACCCATCCCCTCAAAAGCTGGTCAGACTGCGGCTGTTTTCTAATATAAGTCTACTGAAGATATACAAATAAATACATATATATATGGTTCTTTTTTAAAATAAATAAATACCCTGGCCAACCCGCTCTCCCCCTCCTCTTTGTAGCTCCTCCAAAGGCTGGAGGGATGTTAACCTCCTGCAGGCCAGGGGAAGCCAAGACCCACGCCAGGAGAGAGGTGTCCAGGAGCTTCCGCAGCACAGCCCAGGAGCCCCAAGCCCCTGTCCCCCCACCCACCGGGCAGGGCTGGTCACCGGTCACACAAAGGAGCCAGCCGCCGGCGCTGGACACCGGGACTCGCCCCAGTGCCGGGCGCCACATCTGGTCCCTGCACGCCAGGAGGACGAAACCCGCCAGAAAAAAAGGATTAACGCCCAAACCTGTTGCACGACACGGGTCCCTTTCACCCAGAAATGAACAAGGGTGCTCAGGAGGGGAGAAGCGCGGGGCCCGGCTCAGCGGGCCGCGGCCGCACCCGGCAGGCGGCGCGGAGGCAGGGGCGGCCCGCGGGGCTCCCACCTCGGGCGCTTTGTCTGCGGCGGCGGGGGCGACGGGGACCGCAAGGCGGGGGCGCCCCTCCCTCACCGCGCAGCCCCGCCGCCCCGCCGCCCCGCGGCCCGCGCGGGGGAAGAAAGCCCGGCCCGCTGCCGACGCCGCCACCGCCTCCGCCGGCCCGCGCTCGCCGCCCGGCCGCGGGGCCTGCGCGCTGCTCCCGCTCGGGCCGCCCGGGCCGCGCGGCGGCCACACTCACCTGGCTGTCCCTGGCGCTGGCGCTCGCGGCCGGCGGCTCCCGGGCGTTGGGAGGACACGGGGACGCTAGCGAGGTGCGGGCGGAGGCGGAGGGCGAGGCGGGAGGAAGGCGGGCTGGGGGCGGAGCGGGCCCCGGCAACGGCGGCTCCAGTCACTCGCGGCAAATCGCGTCCCAGCCCCTCCGTGCGTCAGGCGGGGGGCGGCGGCGCGGGTGGCCCGGCGACCTCTCGGCACCCGCTGTCCGACCCGCGTCCGCGCGACCCCGCGCGCGCCCGGGCGACGGCTGCACAGGGACCCGGCCCGGCGCGGGAAGGGGGCGGGGCGGGGAGTCCCACCGGGGCTGGGGGCTGGGCGAGGGGGGACTCTGATTCACCCGGGTGGACCCTGCTGTCCCCACCCGTCTCCAAGCTCCGAGCTCCCGAATCGGGAGACGGTGAGGGGTAGTGGAAGGAGCCCTGGACCTGAAGTCAGGAAGTCTGGGCTTAAAGGAGGGCCCGCTACTTGACACCTTGGCACGTCATTTGTTTCCTCTGGCCTCATCCTGAAGTATGTAGGTTCGAGTACAAGGTCTCCAAGATCTTCAGCATTCTAACATTCTCATCCCTGGTTTGTTAGGATTCCTTTGCTCCCAGGTACCCACTGCCAGGAGGTGCCAGGAGGGAGTTCTGTGGTGTGGCTGAAGGATAAAGGCAGCTGGAGGGGAAAGGGTTGCGGTGGGGGAGGACTGGATTCAGGACATTTGTTTTGCTTTGAGGATCTTTCCATTGGACAGTGCAAAATTAATACGCAAAGGGGGCTCTCTGATAATGGCTACTTCCCTATCTGTACCAACCTAGTTATTTTTCTCCAAATGTATTGACTTCAGATTCCTGATTCTTCTCATTTTGTTGCGCAAATCATTTTTATGTCATTTCCTGAATTCACTTCCAAAGAGTCATCAGCGAATCCACACAAGATCACAGCGGCCATGTGGTTCCAATCCCAGGACTTCATGTTACTCACTCTGCGCTCACTTCAGTATCACTTAATTCCATTGATAAAATCTTGCTTTTCCAACAAGTAGGAACCAAATTTCTCTCTACTAAATCACTCTGATTTAAAATCCCATGTATGAATCCTTCCTCTGAAGTCTGTGACTAACAGTCTGCACCACTTCAGCTTCTTTGCCATTCTTTAGGTCAAGCCTTTCTAATTTCACTTCTGCTTCAGTTCCGTAGAACTACCAGAGAATGCTCCCAAAACACAGAGCCGAGCATGATGCATCTCTCTTTAAAATCCATCAGAGGCTCTCCACCTGGTTGAATCAAGTTCAAACTCATACAAGGCCATTTATAATCTGATCCCTTGACGTCTTCTGCTCCAGCTACAACTCCTAACATAGCCCCATATCACACACAGATTTAACAGGCTCTTTCTCTGCTTTTGTAGTCTCCCCCATCTGAAATCTATCCCTCATTTAACCAGGTGAACTCCTACTATCCTTCAAGATAATGACAATAGTAAATCACATCCCCTTGGAATCTTTCCTGACATGCCCTCCTTTCACCACACCAACATCCTCACCCTACACGCTTACACTCAACTAAATATTCTTTCCTCTCTGCTTTCATAGCAACTTTCATCTACAGTATTCTCTATGATAATTCTTGGTACTTTTTTTTTTCCCCCTGCTTTACATGGTGATCTTTTCTTCCTAGACTGTGTTTTCCTTAAAAGGATAGGGATTTCATCTAGTTCATTTTTGGCTCCCGAGAGCATAGCACAGTGCTCAGAACAAAGAAGATTCTCTTTAACTGTTTGCTGAGGGGTTGAAATCATTACCCATTCCAACAAATAGGAAACTCAATGAAATCCACAGTCCTTGCCTTTCTTAACCTTCCACAACGTTCTGTTCTTTTCTCTACTATGTGACATTCACTGCTTATCATTTTAAACCCTCTCTCCAACTACCACTCACATTCTTTGCTTATCCTAATAAAGCAAGAGCGTGCCAAACAATCCATTGTGTAATAGTAATTCACAAAACATACCTGCCCTTCCTCTTTCCATACCCTATTGTATTACTTAGTTATTAGATGAAGGGTAATTGCTATAATAGAAAAAACACCAGGCTGCAAATTTAGAGAATGAAGTTTGGGTGCCATATTTTCCAATAACTACTGAATTAACTCAGCTCAATCACTTAAATTCACTAGGCTTCACTTCTGGGGTTCCTTCAGCTCTAAGGTATGTCTGTCTATCTATATCTGTATCTATATATCTATATATAAAATGAGGGAACCACCGGATCCTTGCAAAGTAGCTGTCCAGTATATGTTTGAACTCCAAGTGATAAGGAACCACTCACTTACTACTTTATGGGGGTATTCATCTTTGAACAATCCTGCTAGTCCCTGCGTTGAACTGAAATGTTTCTCCCTATAAATTTGGTGGATGGGAGGGGGAGGAGGGGATGAATATATACACACCTGATGGATGAGGTGTGCCATCTGGGGGGTGGACGTGCTTGAAGGTCTGACTTAGGTGGCAAAGGCAATATACATAACTTAAACATTTATACTCTCGTAATATGCTGAAATAAAAAAAAAAATTAAAAAATGGCCTCCAAAGATACCCATGTTCTTGTCTCTGGAACCTCTGAATGTTACCTTATATGGCAAAAAGTACTTTGCAGATATGATTAAGGATCTTGAATTGGGGAGATTATCCTGATAGGCCCTAAATATAATAATATGTCCTTATTAGGAAGGAAAGAGAAGAAGATTTCACATAGAAGAGGGAGGCAAGGTGGTACCTTGAAGCAAGATGCTATGCTTCTGGCTTAGATGACAAAGGAATGGGAGCTCTGGAAGCTCCAGGGGAGAATCCATTGCCTTGCCAAGGAATAAAGAATACAGCTCAAGAAACTAGAAAAGGCAAGACCATGGATTTTCCCCTGGAGCTTCCAGAGGGAGCATGGCCCTCCTGACACCTCGATTTTGACCCACTAAAACTGATTTTGGACTTCTGACCTCTAGGACTATAAAAGAATAAATGCATGCTGTTTTAAGCCACACAGTTTGTGGTAATTTGTAAAAAAAAAAAAAAAAAAAAATCTGGTAGGTAGCAATGGTGGAAACACCATTGATCTTAAACTTCAAAGTGATGTGGTCAAATTCTAGTTCTATAACTTCCTACTTGTGTGACCTTGGAAAAGCACCAAACCTCTCCAAGTATAAGTTTGTTCAATTCTATAAGGGAAAAATAATAATCATAGCAGCCTTAAATCATTATCATAAATACGAATACAATGTGTATTAAAGTGCCCAGTGAATCTGAATCTAGTAGTAACATTTGTCGAGTACAGAACAGCCCCCTTCCCCTTTCACAGGCTTGCAAACATTTGAAGTCAACAATCACAGTATGTGCTTTTTCACACCTGTCTTTATTCATGCCCCATTCATCTCCTCCATACTCTCTCAGCTAAACATACTCCAGTGCCTCTTAAAATGTGGTGCCTAGAACTGAATCCAGTATTCCAAGTATAAAGGAAAGAGTAGAGGAGTACAATTTTCTGCATTCTAATGATGATATTTCAAAATGATATTCATGCTCGATATCACATTATTTTCTACCATCCATACTGTTCATAAATATCATATTATTGCCAACTAAAAACAAATAAAAATACCCCCAAATCTTTTTTAAGTCTTTAACATATATACAGCCATCAGACCATATTTCCTCCAACCTGTATTTTGCAATTTGTTTTTGGAAACTGAGTGCAGATCTTTGCATTTTTTCCCTTTAAATATCACTTTGGAAGTTATGTACCAGAGGCCCCTGCCAACTAGAAATCAATGTGAAATGAGAGTAACATTTAAAAAACATTCACGGGTGTGGAAAAAGAATCCAAAAGGCACTTTAAGCAACAAGTTTCTAATTTCCTAATTTCTCCCCTACAACTTCCCTTAGGCTTTATTTTTAGGCCCATTTAGTTGTCATCTAAAATTACATAACTTCTCATATTAATTTTATTTTTATAATAAATTAATATTGAAAACACATTTTATGAGCATATTTCATACAATTGTTCACTTGAACCTCTGAAGATGCTCAGTCTCAGGCAGGCTGGTGTTGCTGCCACTTTACTGGAGCTCAGCACGGTTAGGCAATTTGCTGAACATTCACCCAGCACCAAAGTCACCTTCTTGGAGAAACTGCCCCTCCCACGGTACTTGCTGAAGGGATGGCTCCAGGCTCCTCTTTTGTGCTTTGTGTGTAATCCCTGAATCACAGTTGATTGCCCCTGGTTGGGCACTGACTTATAAACAGCCAAGTCATAACCATTCAAAAAAAATGACTTGGGAAAAAAAGTTCAGTCCCAAAAAGCTGGTCCCATCAGACAATCAGTTGGGGAAGCTGACTACAAAAGGAGGCACAGAGGCTGGCCATGGGTGGGAAGTGCCCTGCAGATTATCAGTGAGCAGAAGTTAATGTCAACCAAACAATGACTAAACAGAGAGCATCCATCCACACATTCATTCAACAAGTATATATTACACATCTCCTGTGTTTTAGGTACTGGCCATATATTATAAACAAAACACAAAAATTCTGCCTCATAGATCTTGCATTCTGGTGGATGAGATGAGCAATAAACACAAATAAGTAAATCAAATAGTATATTAGAAGGCAATAAGTGTCGAATAAAAATAATGCAAGGAAGGGGACTCAAAAGTGCCAGGGAGGTGGGGTGTAATTTTTAGTAACAGGAACAGGGAAGGCCTCACTGAGAGGGTGGCATTCGAGCTAAGGCTTAAAGGATCTGAGGCAGTGTGCCTGTGGAAAAGAAAAGACATAAAGAATAGAAGCTAAGGGAGCCAGCTGGTGGAGGGGTGATCGTGAAGCCCACACCAAGGGAAGGAGCAGTAAAATCAGGTAACACATAGAGCAGGTCATCCAAAAACTGTCTGGGAGCTCTTTAAAAACAAAATAAGCAAGGGACTTCCCCAGATGAACTAGACCAGAACAATCTCAGATGATTGGTTATGTTCCACTAT